ACGGAAACAGATCCAGTCTCCGAAACGTCGTGTGTTTTTTTTTTTGTCTTTTATATACCAGACGATGGGTGAAGTCCAAAATAAGCCAAAAGAAGTACTGTTTCACTGTCGCTTGGATATCGTGAAGGTACTGGTCAGGATGGGAGAAATTGCATCACATAGGAGAGTTAAAAAATTCCTGAATCAGATTTCTTCTCACGCCGGTGATCCGGAAAAATACTGGCTTCTGGAATGTCACGCAATGCAATCTGGTAGCAGTGTACATAAGTTTCGGAAGAACGAATGACGGCCTACTGCCTGTTTCTTACAGGTTAGAGCTTTTCTTATTTCTTGACCTTGAAGTTGGAGGCAGTAATGTTCTGCGAAATTCGCTGAATTTCTACAAGACTGAACGATATCATAGCCTAGAAGAAACCAATCTTTACGCATCATTCAGGATAGCCGAGAATCAAAACGGAAACAGATTACAAATATTATTGCCTTCTGTGACTGGATGGCGCGTAGTATAGTGATTACCGACGTTTGGAGCGAAACTACTGCTTTAATTTTTAAATTATAATGGATATATGTCTCATTGATTATCTGGTCGTTGAGATAGCGGACGGACTCAAGAATGAATCAAGTCTGCACTGAAAGGCCTTTCGCAATTCCATCTTCAATACGATTACATGTGGATATCACGTCACATGTCCAATAATTCTGTCACAATAACAACATTTTAATTAGCTCAATGTCCTTAAGAAAAAAGATGAAATCCTTCAGTTTTTTACGTATACAGCATTGCAATATTGTTAGGTACAGCTTGAGGGTCTAACATCCAGACGGGCCTACTGTTCATTGTAACTGTGACATCGGTAAGTGAAGGTGCTTGTGTTTGTACGGCAAGATTTCCAAGCAACTGCACGAAGATTGAAACAAGTGGAGAACAACTTCATTCTAACTGACAGGCAAGTTACGTATATTCCAGGGCGGTGCCATAGCTCAAGCGGTTAGTTGCTGGCTTCCCACCGCGGCGGTCCGGGTTCGATCCCGTGTCTGGTCAGGTGGGATTTGTGGTGGACAAAGTGCCGATGGGGCAGGTTTTTGCCGAGTACTTTGGTTTCCCCTGCCAATCTTCATTCCACCAGTTGCTTCACAATCACCCTCACCTATCATCTGGGGCTGGTACAATAGGCCAGAAATGGCCGCAGTACAAGGCGCTTAGTCCCACTCCACTAGCAGTAAAAAAATACGTAGATTGCAGACAAACTAAATCGTAGCGACGCAAATGGCGCGATTTCCAATTATCATAATTTTATACTTCAGTTAATAAAATACATAGAAAACTAATTTTTAATTCTTCGATGATATGATTGAAATAAGGTGTTTTTTTTTACTAAATTGTGTATAACACGCACAGAATGTTACTATTCCCCCTCTTTTTAGGCAAGGAGCATGAAAATACGCACAGCTTATCACGCATATTGTGCTTCTAGGCGTTGCCCAGCGTCCTGTTTTGTTTAAAATAACTCACAACATTTCGGAGACTGGATTCTGTCTCAGTCTTCAGGTGGAAGATACTCAATTGGGCCCAATCGATAGAGATAATCCCCATTCCTGGACGCCAGCATCACATAAGAGAGGATACGAGTATATACACCAAACACAGCATAAACCATCTGCGAGAGTTAGGATGAACATTAAAAGAAACTCCACACAGATGGCCGTGAGGTTGTCAGCCTTACGCGCCAGCCGCACTACCCCCAGGAAGATTCCTGGTACTCATTTCTGTTAGAGGCTGAGTCTACCCCAGGGCCACAGTGAGACTGGAAGGATTAGGTCAACTGAAAAATCCAATGGCCTCATCGAGAATTAAACCCGCGACCTTCCAGCTTCCAGCATAGTGCCTCAACCAACTACGCTACCGTGTACCTCTAGCACAATTGGTTTGGTACTAAATTATCACAGACGGTATAACTTTCATCCATTTACACTATAACCGATTGCTTCTGGGCAAACATATTTTAATAAATAATCCGCATTCACTGAAAACTAACGTTCCAAAATGCTACATTTGCTACCACTGTATGTTCTTCATTTACTTCTTTCCTGTCCTCCCTCCATTTTGCTTCCAAGCCACAGCACACGTGACCGGCTCACGCGTCAACCGCTGGTTTAGTGCCAAACACTGGAGCTGTTGCTCTGGATTGAGCATTATGGTACATGTTTCAGGTGAACCAGTGGACCAGATGAAGCTGAAGGGGATATTTGCCTTCAATTTAGTTGCTCTCATAGCGACCGTGTTGTGTTTCGTCACTTTCCAAGCCAAGGTCACCGCCATCGCACTGGACAACAGACACACGGTTAGTATAGAAAGAAAATATATCCACGTGCATTCGTCTTAATCTCCTGCAGTGCAACTAATTCCTTATTTTCATGGAGATCAGTGAATCATTACCTTAAATAAGATCTAAAAGTTGTGGCGATGATATATAATTAATAAAATTATTCTATTTTTTAACATTATCCATAATCTTATTATTTTAAACACACAAACTTTCGGATAGCACGCAACTGAGTAGATTCTACTAAAAATCGGAGACAGAAACCAGACTCCGAAACGTCGTGTGTTCTTTAAATAAAAATAGGACGATGGATAATGTCCAGAAACTTAATAATTGAATCATTACCGCGTTTACAAGAGCCCAGAATTTTTCCTTACACCGAGTCAAATTAATCCTCCCTACATTCCTTCACGCTATCGTACTGTCGCTTTATCCATTGGGTTGTGGGGCTCCCACATTTTCTAAACAATCGGCTCACAGATGGCGGTGAGGTTGTCAGTCTTACACCCCGGCTGCCTATTGCATAGGAATGGCTCTACTTGTCATTTGCTATAGATCCTTGCCTAGCAACTGGTCTATGCGCCAGAATATTACTCCTTCGCAAATTATATTATAGTAGAAATACATACTAAATTTATGAATAAAAGTAAGATATGTGCACATTTGTCTCTGCCTACAATAAATTCATATTGCATAATTTAAGTGTCTTTGATCCATTTCAGGTAGTGACGATGATTGACAACGAGCCTAGGTTCAGAGTTCGACGCCAGGCGAGCAACAAGAACCGCGGATTTTTTTCTATGCTTTCAGATTACATATCCGAGGTAAATATAAATTGATCTGTCACTAACACACGGGTATATATACTCCCACTTTGAAAGAATACCTTCTGAACACACAAAATGAAGGTATATTAACTCTTTGATACATTAGTGTCTTAGTTTGTTTCATCGCAAATTCACGCCATGAACAATCCACCTCCTTGTAACAGATCGAATTATTTCCGAGTATGTAAAGTACTAAGAGTAATATTTATATACATAAACAGAGGCGCCTGATCAAGTCAAGGAGAATGAGGTGGGCAGGTCATGTAGCACGAATTGGGGAGAGAGGAATGCGTATAGGATATTGGTGGGAAAGCCAGAAAGAAAGAGACCACAGGCGTAGGTGGGTGGACAATATTAGGATGGGATGGTATGGATTGGATGGATCTGGCTCAGGATAGGGACCAGTGGAGAGCTCTTGTGAACACAGTGATGAACCTTCGGGTTCCATAAGATGCTGGGAAATTGTTGAGTAGCTGCAGAATTTGCGGCTCCTCAAGAAGGACTCAGCTCCATGGGTAAGTAAGTAAGTAAGTAGAGGCGCCAGTCAAATAGAAATCAAAATTAAACAATAACATACAGTATAGCAAGGGACCTCCGAGTACCATAACAACCGTCTGTGTATACATGTCCACATAAGCACCATCACACACTCTTACGATTGCAACTGCCTACTATGAAATATAAATATAAGTACAGCTCTTAACTGCATTTTAATTATGCATCTAGTTCATTCTTATACTTTTACTTTCATTGTAACTTTATATTTTATATTATTGTATACATATTAAAATGGATCTTAGATAGGATGGAAGGGCCGCACCATAGCTCAAGCTGTTAGTCGTTGGCTTACTACCGCGGCGGCCCGAGTTCGATCCCGGGTCTGGTCAAGTGGGATTTGTGGTGGACAAAGTGGCGC